TATTTCTTTCATAGTTTACAACTTAAACTCCCTGTTAGCAAATAAGCTTTGTTATCCTAATGACGTAGTGTTTAGGCATAACATCGTTCATTTGTAATGATAACTTTAATCATTCTAAATAAACGATTTTCTTATCATTTGTTTGGAATAATAAATTTAATCATTCTAAATGAATGATTTATATATTTATTTATTTACATATTTTATATAAATAAAAACTAAAAAAAAAATATTGAAGTGCAACTGTAAAATCTTGCGCATGAATAATATCATTAAAATTCATTAAAACTTGGCTTGTTCTGTTTTTTTTCCTTTGATATTTAATTCTCCTTTTTTAAAATAACCTCAATTATTTAAATTTGACATTTTATTTTAAAAAAAAATAACGCAACAAAATAAAAAATGAATTAGAAATAGATTGTAAAGGTTAGGTTATAGTTCTTTATTATCGTCCTTGGTATATGTGGGATGGAATTAACCGGGGATTTCAAAATCTAATAGAAACGGACTTTGTAGGTAGGAAATTAGTATTAGCATTATTCATAGAAAAATCAGCATTAGCGTGCAATTTAAAAGAGCCAAAGGATAGGACATTCAACGTCTTACTAGGCCTTTGGGTCAGATTGCTAGTATTTTATATTTAGAGCATGTCCATACAACTTCGTGAAATATTATCTTTGTATCACTATGCAAGAACACCTAATTGAATATAATAAAGTATTACCCCATACTAAGCTCTTATTTTAGGGAGTTACATCGCAAAATAATAAATATTTTGTTAATATGGTTAGATTATTTCTGATCATCAATGCTAATATATTTGACTTAAATGGTCGTTTAAAGGCCTACATTCTAATACATGGAATTTCGAAACTCATGATCGGCCAATTATTGTACAAAAGAATTACCGTGAGCTTCGTAATGCAATCATATCTTTTGGCAGTAATTGGATTGATTCTGTTTCATCCAGAAGATTGACGAGGTTGCAGCAACAAAATCAATATTTTCCGCGTGGGATTTGGAAAAATACAAAATCTTCATTTTAGAATGCATTTTGTCATGTTGTGACTTAGTATAATAACATATCGATCAATTAATGTGAAGTGAAACGAGCACCTTATGTGTTTTCGCTCGGAACTTCTGGCATATACTTTCGTCATTGATTTGCATGGAAAAACTGATGTTCCATAGTTGAAATTTACATACGGGATAGCGTTAAATTTTCTATTGTAAATTAAGGAGCGTCTGATGATCAGATCTTCATGATGCGGTTATAATAACGTATTTTTCCCAAAGCATAATCCAAAATCGATCCTGTAAAATATATTAAAAGGTGATGTCCCACTTAGTGAACCCTTTTATCTGCCTTGTACAAGTAAATTCAAACTTACCACTATTAACATCAATAATATCAACAATCAATCAAACAAGTTTGAATTCTCGGCTTGATTCCAGATTCACATCATTTCGGTGCTAATTAAAGTTTTCGGATTTATAGATGTTCAAAGCCCAAAGCGAAAATATTATCTGCAGATTTGATATTCGCCAGGAAAATCGTGATCGTGATCGCCATCACGTGCCTCATAAAAACAGTAAACTTTTCTGTCACCTGATTATCAGAATCACGCGTCTCGGCGCAGTGAATCAAATATCATAAGCATATTAACTTGCCTGTTTGGCGTGGTATCGAACCCTTCAAAAATGTCACGAAATGGCCGGCATTAAGGCATTAAGAAATTAACCGAGTGGCAAATAAGGGTGTGACAATAGTATTTGTCCCATAAAAATGAAATGTGTGAGATGTGACACCGGTGACAAAAAATATATCACGTGAAATTTGTGACATATTTGGATGGTACGCGGGGAATCCGAACTGATCATAAAATAATTGAAATCGAAACACCTTTATTATAAAGCAATAAGCAACAAATTTTTTAAATATGAGGCGGAGTAGAATGTTGCAAAAAATAAGTCTGTATGTGTGATGCAATTATTGGTCGTTCTGACTGATTTGTGCGACAATAGATTTCTACATACCCCTTATTTTGCGCAAATTTTTCTTTTTTTTTCTGAACTGCACATTTGTCATACTATAGTTGTTTTACCTGAATAAACATGTCAACTTCATCTGTTACCTCTCGCGAACCTAGCGTCGAAGATGTGGAAAAATATAACACGGAAAAACTTATCGATTATTTACAATCAATGAACTTCCTTGTTGAGAGTGAATTACAAAATGTTCGTATTCAGAAACTTGATGGATTTGCTTTTGTTAATATGACCAAAGATGAGTTTTGTGCTTCTCCCTTTAACATTCCTTATGGACCAGCTAAAAGAGTTGGCTTGTTGATCGATAAGTTAAATAACCAAAGTAAGTTCTATCATAAAATAGTTTATATGTCAACAGACGCTTTTAAAGGCAGTTGTATTTATTATTATTTCTATGTTTGCCTATCTATTAGATAATACCGAATAATTACTTATCCTTGTGCTTTTCTCTACTTCTTCTTATCGTCAAACCCGCCTAAAAACACATTATTTGTTTACTCAACCCGTTTGTCATTTCTATAGGGCTCCTTACTATTAATGAAGTTTTATCGTGTATTCCTCCACCTGCAAATTATCCTCTTGATACCAGTACTTCGATTAGCTCAACAACAGTATATGGCGCTTGGCCTACAAAAATAGCGCGTTGGAATGAATTTTTAACAGAAGTGAATCGGTACAACTTTTTTGAACAGTATATATTCAAGAGACCGCAATTTTTTCATGGTGTACAAATAGTCGTTGAGACAAATGTCTACACAGCTATGGAAGTCAATATATTTGGTGTATTGAACGAGGTTATGAAAAAATATATGTTTGCAATGCAGAAGGATTCCGACTTCTCTAGAAATAACCCTAATATTGGTCCTTTCGTACCTGATTATACTTGCCGTCTTAAAATTAACAATACTTTCATGAAGAAAATCTTGGCATTAGAAATCAAGAGAGACATCCTTTTAAGGGATTTGGTAGGATTGACTGATGAAAAACTGGAAAGGCAAGATTTTAGTTCCCATTCACATGATATAATTAGGCAAATTTACAATTATATGTCATCATTACAACTTCAATATGGAATTCTTTCAAGCTATGATATTCACTTTTTCCTGTATCGACCAAAACATAATCATACGGAGCTTCACATTTCACACCCTCTTCAACGTGTTTCAATCAATCCACCAGTGCTTAAATCATACGCATATTTGGCTCAGTTAGCAGAGGAAGATTCCACATCTCCCCATCATAACATAATGAATAGTAGTAGTCAAAATTTAGCTTTACAGCAAAGTCAACAAAATTTTGGAGGTGGCCAGATTCTCAGAAGTTTGAATAATTCTCGTTATAACTTGAGAAGTATGTCGAGAACGTCTGAAAACCGGGGATCACGGGAAAATCAGGATCCAATGGAACATATTTTTGATTGTTCTGAATTTAAGTTTGAACGTTCATTAGGCTATGGGCAAACCGGAGGGACTTATCAATGCGAATTCCATGGGCAAATAATAGCTCTGAAGGCTTTAGATCTATATAAGAATAGAAAATTTTTTTATAAAATGCAAAATGAAATCGAAGTATACAATCTACTTTCTAAAGTTCAAGGAATATATATTCCAAAATTGGTATGTTATGGTTATTATGGGGGTGGAATGGGCTATGTTATGGGTATGACAATTGTTGGTACTATTTTGAACTTCCATAAAATAGAGGAATGGCAAAAGGATATGGCTCTCAAGGCATTAAAGATAATTCATAGTCATAACGTTCTTCACAACGATATTCGAAAAGAAAATATCTTAGTTAATGAAAAAGGTAATGTATATTTTATTGACTTTGGGAAGTCAATTGTTACTGATAAAAAGGAGCTGTTTCTCCAAGAGGAATCTGAATTATCCCGTTTATTCGATTGCTATATGTAATTAATATTTCTTTTGCAACTTTATAAATAAATTCAAAAAAAATCTGTTATATAAATAGAGTCGTTAAAACGGTAACTAATTATATAAATATTTTTTTTTCTGGCAAAAGTGATCGACATTCCGAAACGGAACGCACAAACGATGATGTTTTTGCATCAGACTATTTATGCGCATCAAAATGTATGATATTACAAATCATAATTCCGATCAAAATCCCTAGTATCTGTCATCTTGTAACAATTCCTGCATTCTTACATATATTGTATTGCGAAGTAATGAGTGCCAGGTAAAATCATATGACTGATCGTTCCCAAACAGATTTTCCATAACCTAAATTATCCTGAAATCAATGAGTTAGGGACTATGGATCATAAAAAGTATTACGATCTCGAAGTTGTCCGGAAATAAATATTCCTAGCATTACCAGCTTCATATGTAAAAAGATGGTTACTACAAAGAACTCGGGCTAATTTTATTTAGGGATGTTAATTATTATCGGTCTTACCGATCGGTTGACCAATAATTATTAAGTACTTTCAGTATCAATGCTAGTAATTCTAGGAATTATTATGTCAATTTTTTGGTCATTAATTAAAGGATTAATATTTAATAAGGAACATTATTTAATGTGTTGTGTTCTTTGGATTTTTTTATGTCAATCGGCATGATGACATACTTGATGATTAGATATTATATACTTTGACTTGTCTGATTAATATATCTCATAAATAATATCAACCTTACTAATTATAAATTCAGTAGAATTGTTTATTACGAAAGTTTTAACAGAATAACAGACTGGATAATAAGGTCATGATTATAATCATCTATGTGAAAAAATATTCTTTTCAAAAATAAAAAACTAGAACCACCAAACGAATATTCGAAAATGAGCACGTTCGCTTTTCATCTATTTTTTTGGACTCTTAATTTTTCTTATCTCTGGTGCTTCTGCCAATTTCACTCCTAATTGCTAGCGTCTACAATTATTCCAAACCTCAAGGTCACTTCTGTGGTTTCGAAAGCGAAGAATGATATCTACCAATGCTCTGTTATAGAAGACATTTGTCGTTTTGGCGTTTGCAAGGAAGGCTATGAATCCGGAGGGTACTTGCAGAATATAAGTATTGACAATTTCTTTAGAAAGGTAATTTATTCGTATAAAGTAAAATATTTTACTGCTCTTATATTACAATGTTGTATTATTATTTTGAATAACTATTTGTATTACTTTATGCACTTTGATGTTGTCCAAAAACCAGAATCTGAAATATTAATAATACTTTTTACATTAAATTATTTTTAAGATAAAGATTTCTTTTTTTACGCTTATCAATTTGCAGATTTTCAAAATAAAATTTAAAGAATTTATCATTTCTAGATGCGTGTAAAATCAAAAATTTTCATGTTTACAAAAAATTATTAAATTATAAAATTCAAATTACATTGAAGGATGTGCTAAATAATGTCATCTTTGGGTTATGCAACGTATCAAATTATCCTAGACATCAAAACTTCTGAGATGTAACATTTTTATTAGATATCTTTATTACTACTATTATTTTCAATTCGTTGTAGATATCAATAACATACTCTGTTAATAAATTTTTAAAGATTTTAATTATTTTATCATCTTCCTATGGTAATTGATTAATGGTAAAATCGATAATGGATTTCTTAATTGGCTTTGCATTTTTCATTTGATTCCACAAGTTTCGACGGATGACAAAACCTATCGAATCTTCTGAATTTAAATATTTATTATTTTGTAAGCAAATCGTATATATCAAAGGTCATTTTCTTTTATAATTTTTATTATTTTCAAATCCAATTACATCATTATCACCTAATTATATTTTCTTCATTTATCTTCTTCCTTATTCATTAAACTTTTATTTGAAAATCATCATCTAGAGGTTTGAATCGAATTTTATAAATTCAGATTTATTCAGTTCGAATTAAATCCAGATTTATATAAAACTCCAGTAATTTTTGAAAGCAAAAAAAAATTTTATAATATATAAATAGTAGATTTAAAAAATTTATAATATTAATGTATGTTTCTTATAATTGTAATAGTTAGATAAGGTAGTAATAATCTTTTAATTTAAATAATAATTCAATCACAATCACAAATTGCTTTATTTATTAATTATAATAAAAATATTTTACAAAAACTATTGAAATAAAAAGAAAAACTAAAGTCTAAAAATGTAAGTAACTGTATGTTTTATTAAAAGTATATTATTATTAAAACTAAAAAAAAATTATAAAAAACTTTATATTTAACTAATTTATAAATTTGTATTTGTATAAATTGTTTACATAAATGATATAAGAAATTTATTTTAATATAACTAATTTATTTAATAATTAAATATATTGTATTTGTCTATTTTATTAATTATATTAATTATATCAGAAATGTTAGATTTTTAAATACAGTTTTATACTATATCATTAGCGATTTTACACAGGTAATACCTCAGGATCATTATCATGATGAAAAATGTAGAGTTTTAATAAATTTAAATAAATATTAATAATATTTTTATAAATAATTAATTAATATTGCTAATTTGTAATTAATTTTATTAATAAATTACCTAATCTTAACTCTAATCTTAAACTTAACTCTAATTCAAACTTAATTTGTAAAATAATCTAATTCTAATGCTAATTCTAACTCTAATTTTAACCTTAAATCTTAATGTTAAATTAAATCAAATTTTAACACTAATTTATCTCTAATACTAAATATAGATTATTTTACAGTTTAAAATAAGTAATATATAATTAATTAAGTTTTTGCCATAAAGTACCTATCAAATTGTTATATTATTTATTGTAAACTGTAAAATAATCTATAAGTTAATTAAAATATTTATTTATAATTAGTAAATATTTTTTATTATATATAATTAAAAACTTTATAATAAATATATCTAATTAAAATATAATAAAAATACTTTTAAAATTATATACAATTAAAATAATAATTAAATCAAATTAAATTATATAAATACCTTTAAGATTATGTATAAATTAAAATAAATAATAAAATTAAATTAAATTATGTAGATACTTTTAAAATAAATTAAATAATATAAATACTTTTAAAATAATATATAAATTACAATAAAATTAAATAGTTTTATATCTACAATTTTTTTATTTTAAAAATAATTTTTTGGAATTTATTTTTAATTTTTTTTTGAAAATATTTGTTTTTTAAATTATTAATTTTAGTTATTAATATTTGAAATTGATATTTAATTTATTTATAAATTATTATATTTTATTTTATTTTTTTCTTGAATTTTACTATTATTTATTATTTATTGATTTTTAATTTTAAATAATTGAAATTTTATTTTAAAATTTAATTTATAATACTTTATGATTTTAATAACAAATAAATTATTAAAGGTATTTTTTTAAATTATTCTTATTTTTTATTTTATTATTTATTTGAATGTAGTAGGGCAACTTTGGGAGTCCTGGGGTCAAAAAAAAGGTATCCAGAAGCTCCCAATCATAAGCCTGAAGCTCTTCTAGCAATACGAATCTATAATATAGAATTCAGATTTAAAAACAGCATCAGCGCTCAATTTCGTTATCATATTCCTTGCTATAGATTTAAGCTTCGGAAGCTAAAATCAACCAAATTGTTATAACCTTACTAGCCCGATATTTAACCCAATTCAAATATCAAAAAAATATACTATACTATTTTCCTTTGAGACGACGCGAGATTGGCAAGAACCAAAGATTCGAAGCTAAACTCGTGGAGTCTTTGCAAACCTTCTATGTATACTAATATTTATGCTATACTGCTTGCCTTTGGAAGTAGACTCAAATATTAAGGAACGAAGTGACAAAATATACGAGGCTACGACCTTGTCAAGCCTAAGATGTATACTAATTTTTGAGATATCCTAAAATTAATTCTAAAACTGATTCTTAGTCGTAATTAAAGGGTTAAATTTTGGTATCATGACCAAAGAAAGGGTACCAAAATTTGTATGGGGTACCAAAATTTACGGGTAGGATACCAAAATGTTGAATGATAGAAAGTAAATCAAAAGGGTCATTGAACCTATTCTAGTATACAATTAATTTCTTGATATGCAGGAAATCATTCTAGAGCCAATTCTTCTAGAAAATACTAGGGTCAAAAAGTTATACAAAAAAAAAGTTTCACCTCTGGGGTACCAAAATATCTGGGTATATAAGGTTTAAGAATACCAAAATTCCAGACAGGTACTAAAATTTTAATAGCTTAGCTGACATTCTGAAGAGCCCTAGAGCATAACCTCTGATAGTGTTTAGAGACGTAAAATCCTTTTATATGTGCAGGACATCGACCAGAATATGATCTAGTAAGTCTTTCATATTCACTACAAAGAACATTTTGTTTATCAACTAATTTTCAAATATATTTCCAATGAATTGAATACCTATCTTCACGCATGCAGAATCTTCCACAAATATCACCAGAGCAACGAATAAATGGACAAGTATATTCACCATACATAATATATTTTTTTTTCTTATAACAATTATTAATTTAAAATAAAAAATTATATAAGTAACATATAGTAATATATACACTTACATAATGAGTACACAAATTCAAATAGCAGAAGCTGTAAACAACCAAGTTACCCAAAATATCCCAACCAAACCCACATCTCAGGAAGTCGAACAGGCACTAATAAATGTTATCAAAGCAGGGTTATATTATAGAAGGCCAAAAGAAGGTAAATTTATGCAAAGTTATAAAGAGCGAATCAGAAAATTGCGTCAGGCA